TCTAATGACTTGTGCTTATTAAACATACCATATTTATATCACAAGTGCAAGGCTGTTAGTCTCCTGGGCTAAATTCCAATTGGGTAGGATCACAGGGGAGTAGGGCTGGAAGGGACCTCATAAGATCATCTAGTCCAGCCTCCTGCTCAAGGCAGGATCATCCCTGATTAAACCATCCCGGCCAAGTGTCTGCATAACCTGCTTTTAAAAGTTTCCAAGGATGGAGATTTCACAACTTCTTTAGGCAGCCTGTTCCAATGCTTAACTACCCTCAAAGTCAGAAAGTCTGACATCACGCCTACTTTAAATCTCCCTATAAGTTTGCAACTGAGCTTTTTATCCTGAACTACACAGCTATCAGGTATTTCATGACAGATTCCATGTCTATGTAGTTTATAAAGTTGATAGCTTTGGGATCTTTGGATGAAAGGCACCATAGAAACAAACAAATTGTTATTTTGATCCCAGCCCCACAACACTACTATTACAGAATAGCAAAACAGCCTGGGGAGGGAGAATCATTACAACTCATACGAAAGACCAGCACTGACCTTGGCTTTTATCCACTAATGGCAGAGTGCTGTCATCATAGCCAGACTTGCCAGAAGTACCTTTGGATCCCTTTGGTGTTGCAGAAACAGTCTAAAAGACAAACCACCAGAGTAAGAAGCTGCTGTGGTTGCTGCAAACAGAGCGATTGACAGATCCAATTAACAACCAAGCAAAACACCGCTTCAGAATCATGTTCTGGAACCCTGTTCCTGTTCCATCTGCTGCTGATTCATGGATCTTCAATCACAACCCAATTAAGGATTAGAATCATAGAAAATTAGGGTTGGAAGGTACCTCAGGAGGTCATCTAGTCCAACCCCCTCCTCAAAGCAGGACCATCCCCAACTAGATAATTCCAGCCAGGTTTGTCTAGCCAGGTCTTAAAAACCTCCAAGGATGGAGATTCCACCACCTCTCTGGTAACCCGTTCCAGTGCTTCACCACCCTCCTAGTGAGAAAGTTTTTCCTAATATCCAACCTAAACTTCTCTTGCTGCAACTTGTGGCCATCGCTCCTTGTTCTGTCATCTGCCACCACTGAGAACAAGTTTAGCTTCTGAGTATTGTCCATTCCACTACAGTGCTACTGATGGCTTCTCCTTTCCTTGTCATTTAACTGGGCAAGCAAGTAGCTGCATTTGCAGGTGCAAAGTGACAGCCATTGCTTTTCAGACAAAGAAGAACAGGCAGCTGCCATATGAAGTGTGTGCCTGGTAACCAGTGACCAACAATGCAATGTATGCTTGTAGAGGGTTACGTCTAACGTTGCAAGGTCCCAAAGCACGAAGGACAGATGCCACTAATTTTAGGCATGCAACAATAAGTATATTTATGACCTCATTAAAAAAACAATCATCACCTAAAACCAGAAACTTCTCTGTCAAACTCTGCCACCGACATAGCAAGGAGTTAGGCCTGCACACTGAGGGAAGGATAACACATCTCACGGAGCTTTCTCTGAACACTGACTTGGACTCTAGGACTCTTCATCTTTACCTGAAAATGGGATTTGTTCCACCCATCTTTCTGCAGAACGCTTCGTAGTTCTTTGTAGCTCCAGACCATCTGAAGAACATGAGATGCTGCCTTTGTCTCCCGGGGGGACTGGCTGATTTACGAGACAAAATTAAAACCTCAAAGATTAGAAGTTCACAAATTGACCCTGTAAGCTAAAATCCTAAACATTCCAGCAGACCTATCATTTCCCATAAAGAATTAAGATAGCTGCTCAAAGAATATATTTTGGGGTCAAACTTGTCTAATGAGGGTCCATCTAGTGCATATATGAAAACACATCTGTTCATATAAAAAGCCACCTGCATGAACAAAAGAAGTTGTGAATTATGCAGACGTGAGATTTTCCTTTGCATTAGCATGCAGACATAGTACACAGATCTTCTGCTTGGTGAATTCCACTTTTTGTATTAAGCCTTTATTTAGGTCAAGACAGAAAAGTTGAGCACCCAAACCCTAACAGCAAGCAAGTCTGAAGCATCTCTGGAAAACGCTCTCAGGGTCTTGGAGTCATCTTCAACATCTTTGGCCCAGTTGTACATGTGCTCCATAACATAAACTCAGCTGAGTCAACAAGTGCTTTAAACCATATGCTTAAGAGCAACATGGATGAAAGAATAAACCTAACTAATTCTTACCTGAAAAACATTTTTCATTTATTCTTTACAAGTCAGTACCAGACTGCTACATAAAGCAATACAGTGCCAAGGTGCTGGCTGATTCTTACTTGCATAAAACAATGCAGAAGAATAAAGTAACCTTCAGGTATGCTCTCAAAAGTCTGTTAAAATCATTTATATATACACTCATTTCTGCTTCCTGGAAATAAAGACTCTTCTCAAAGCTATCAAGAGTTTTTTTGACACAGTACCATGATGCAAAAGTGTTACTTTAAATTATCACCTCCAAGCTATTAGGCAGAATGATTACTACCCTCATGAAACATTTTATTTAAAAGTAATAAAGTTTTATCACTTGCATTCCAGAAATGGAATATTACCACTGGATGAAGGTCTCCCACTCTGCAAATAAAGGTCATGGTTTCACTGCAAATGATGTCTGATAAATGCAGACACAATGCTAAGACACACCAGGCCAAGAGAGATTGCATCCTACAATGAGAGAACGTTATATTCTATTGAGCTTATCTCTGGGGTCCAGTAAACCTGTTACAGGCACTGCTGTAGGATTTGTTTTTATTAAACATTTTTAGGACTCCGGTTACACAGCTGAAAGGTCAAGATGGTTGGACACCATCACAAAGCAAAACGTCGCTGTTCACAGTGGGTTTTCTGTATATTGTTTTCAGTTGGAACCTACCTTGATTTGCTGATTGTTACTAGCTTCTGAATGCCCTGGGTCTGGATCAGGGACCTTGCATTTTCTGAACTGTCAGTAATGATTTCATGGATGGTATTCAGGACTGCAACCACTGTATCCTCTTCCAGGTTTTTAGCAGATCTCTGCTGCCTACTAGGCAAATTTCTTACCAGCTCACCCATGGCATAACTACCTAGGATAAGGGGAGGAGACATCAATAGGCAGACGCAATAAACACTGCATCCCAGTCTGCATCCTTTGCACAGTCCAAAGAGCTTTCAGCATCAGTTTCTTGGATCTTAAGACTGTAAGTTAACAGTGTATTTATCATTAATTATGACAAAGTGCTTGAGAATTAATAGCCAAAGCAATGTCATGCAGCACAATGGATGTTAAAGATAACAGGGAAAAGAAGTTTGCAACCTTTGCTGAGAACTTCATGGCCAACATATATCATGCCTGCTGTGCCTGAGGCTAAAAGCATTCAGCAACTGCTGCTAATACCGAATATTAATGCTAATGTGCACACATACCATTTATTCAACTTAGCCTTGTAACAGGCCTGCTGGGGTGAGATGTGCAGCCATGCATCTATTAACCTTCCCCTGAAAAAGGTAACAACCTTCTCTCCAGGGTACATTCAGCCTTCACTCTATACAGCATCGACAAGAAACCTCAGTCTTGGGTTTATGATTCCCCGGTGCATGTTTGCACCATTTGGTAGCAACATAAACCACAACTAGTTTAGAGGTAAGAAATCTGGGTGCATTTAAGGTAGGAATTGAAGATTGTTATTTATGAGGCATCAGCTGTGTTTTCAGCTCTGCATGCCGCAGGAACATTTCCTTGCCCAACAAGGTTACAGCTGAAACCAATCATACAAATTGCTGGAAACACACCAGAAGGCTCAGAGGAAAAGTTTAATGTGGAACTGAGCCCTTGTGATTTCAATTTAATGAAGACATGGGTGCATTTTAGCCAAGCTGGATTATTGCTGGCAAGTGTCACAGAGCAACTAAGTTTTAAGGAAGAGGTTTTGAATGGAGAGAGCATGGATGCCTGGCCTCTGGGTACAGGGGCCGGCACAGAAGCACAGAGAATCCCATAATGGGGAGACATGAAACAGTTCACTGACAGAACAAAGGAGAAAAGAGTAACAAATCCAAAAGTCAGTGTTACTTCTGTAATGCATTCCAGTATCTGCTACAAAGTAAAGTTTCATTCCCATTAAGCCATGTCATCTGCAAGAACAAAAATTAGATGGACTGAAATTAAATTTGTAGATGGTGATTCTTCACTCAGTGCATATGTTGGCCTCCTATCCTTATGGGGGCTGTATGTAAAATAAACTACAGCCTCAAATATTCAACAGGAGTCTGAATTATTTCTCAAGTCCGTATGCATCTCCTGGGTTGTGGCCCTGCAAGAGATGTTTGAAAGGTACCTATGAGATCCTTGTTGCGACGGTCCATGGAGAGATTCCTCAGTGCAATCGACACCGCCCTCACAACCTTGTCCGAGTCAGACTGGAGAAGCTCCACGAGGACTGGTAAGCCCCTCTCCTTTCGTACTGTTGCACGGATGTATGTAGACCACTGATCATGAACGCACACAAAAAGAAAAACAATACATGGGGTTGTGAATATACAGGCCTATTTCCTCCCAGCTGGTATTTCTTTCAGTTGAAAGGCTGTTCAAGCTGAAAAGCCCACACCTAGGATGAACCACCAATTTCTATAGCCTATATGGCTTGCATCATACCTAGCTGCCTTGGCTTATTAGCTTGAATATTACCTGCAATTTTTAATACATAATTCCATTTGTAATTATACATTAAAATGTGACTGCACCTTGAGACGAGTGTTAGGAAGCACTATCTTGCTGATTCACAGACTCTGCTGCTCTGGTTGATCAAGTATTCATTACTGAGAGCAGACAGATTATCACGGATGTTGCTGGGAAGAAGGATCTAGAAGCAATTTTGGGATGCAACTCCCCTTTGTAATTTGAAAAGCTGATGAACTGGGACAACATCCCATCCTGGGATCAGACCAAGCTGAGCTGTCTCTAAGAGAAGCTCTTATTAAGAAACCCCAGAATGAAAAGTTGACGAAAAAGTGAACTTGCTCCTGTTGACATCTGTATCCCCTTTCATCTCAATGCCAACGCTTCAGTCATAAGGTGCTTTCAACTGGGCAAATCCATGATATATTTTTAAAACTGGCAAGTAAAATAGCATTCATTTTTCCCATTATCGTAAATTGTCTCAATAAAGGGAGGGAGATTCAATTTTGTGCCTGAACTGGTAAATTCTCATGACAATTTTGTAGGATGGCAACATTCACAAACACTCTAATATTGGCAAATACTGTCTGCAAATTCTAAGCATAAGTACCATGCAGCTACCTTCTCTAACAGTATGAAAGAGGGAAAATGTCAGAACAGCTGAGGAACAAACAGGATTAGACAATTTTACTCCTCTTTTGTCACAGCATGTGTCTCATCTCCAGTGTTGTGTGGTGAATTTCTCTGGGACGGAGCTCTTCTTTCAGAGACCAGGTTCAGGAGGTCTGGTTGTTTGCAATTCATTCCTCCCTGTTTACAGGTAGAGGCAGAAGGTCGAATTTTCAAAACTGCTTGGGTGAAGTGTAACGGGATTTATGCACCTAAGTCACTGAGACACTTGACTGTTTTACGTCAGGTACCACAAGTGGAGAGTTTTTGTCTGGTCTGGGGAGTGATGGGTTGTGCTTTAGCCCTACCTGGCAGGCTGTAGGATCATGTCTCTGATGAATACTTTAACAAAGATATGCATGAAATTGCAATTTATTTTATTAAAAAGAAAACCACCCTAAGTAGTGCTGAAACCTTCTCTGGAAGCTAAATATTTTACACTCTGTCCAAACCAATACAGAAAAAAAAAAAAAGGAATCACAAATGAAAAGTAACGGAGAACAGAGTGTAAGCTGCCAGGTTATATCACACCTAGAGGGGTCAATTCAGAGGGGTTGAAAAAAAGTGTACGTGGGGAATGTATTGTACTCACTGTCCAGTTTCCAGCACTGAGGTTCTGCAAAGCCCCCGCTGCAGCTTCCAAAGTGTTGAAATTCTGGCTTTCAGTGAGGATAGAGAGGTACAGTCGTACCACGTCTGGCTGGTAGAGCAATTCAAAGCCTGCAGGGAGAGAACATTGAGGAGTCAACACATAAATTGGTATTTGGTACCTCTTCACTTCTGGAGTATATGAGAGAAGTTTGTGCTGCAGAAACAGCACAAAGCTTGTGGTTGCACCTAGTCCACTCTGGTCTTGCCTGCTGGAAGTGACACACACTGGAAATCAGTAGCAGGACCTATGAACTCTCCAGCTCTGCTGTTCTGAGATACCCTGAGCACAAACTTGCTTTACTGATTTTCAGGAAAGAGAATCCACCTCATTGCTACAGACTCAGAGATTTACTCTGTGCATTTAACTAACATGCTAAGCATGTGTGTGCACAGGTGTGTGGCACGAGGTCAGGCTTGTTGACAGTCATACCTGCATGGCTAAATGGGGAGCAAATTCAACTGGTGCTGCTTTTTGCATTCAGATCAATTGAAGTAGCTTTGGCAAGCACTGTTAACAGTGCCAATGTGAGACTGTGTAGCACGGTTACATCGAACTTCCCCTTCTGACTCCTGCCTGCTGAAAAAATATAGCATGCAAAGTCAAAAGAAGAATGAATGGGTGGGAAAGTGGAGAATGCCACCATTTTAGCTAAGGTTCAGAAACTATGCAAAGACAGATAGACGCTGTATTGCACCTAGAAACAGTGAAGGATATAATATGCATTAAAGAATAATTCCCAAAGGCAAGGCACCCATTCTGTAGCCACAGATATGTGACTGGAGCCGGATGGTTTAGATTCTATAAGCTCTGCCATATATTCCCCTTTGTTATACTGGGTAAGTTACTCTTACTAACCACTGTGTTCTTGACGTTTTTATCCAGAGGATTATCCTCATTTGTTATTGCCGTAACCACAGTGTCTAGGAGCTCCAGGATCCCACTGTGCTAGGTGCTGCACAGTGAGACAGTAGTTGCTCGTTCTGCAGGGCGTTTGTCATGCTAATTCAGTTGGATGATGCCCCTGCTCTTTCTTTGGGACCGGTTCTGAAACCACTGGTTGTTTATGTGGCAGTCCGTGGACAGGCGTGTGCTCTCAATTAGCATCTCTCCTGCCTGTAATCAGTTCCTTGCTTCCTGTACCAAGTGATATTGTCCTCAGTGAATGCAGAGTCAAAAATGGCTATTTAAAATGTGAGACAGTTTGGACTCTTTCTACTGCTCTCTGTTCTCACCAACAGCTTTGTGTTTTTTCTTAGTATCTCGATGGATTCATAGACCTCTTTCTTCTCACCTTGGATTCCTCTAGACAATAATATTTTCATTTGCTGTTTGGGCTCCCTTATTTTGCCCGTGCTTTCCTTACAGCAGTTTCCCCCCAGTCACCGCTCTTTTCCACTTCCGAGAGATAGTCACTCTTTTTTGTAAATCAAGACTTTTGCTATTCTTCTTTCCAGTCACATAACTTTTAAAACAGCCTTTGTTGCATTTTCAAATTCTATTGGTATTGTTGGTCTTTGGACTTTCAACTATCGTGCTGTAAAAAGTCTCCCCTTTTCTTTTCTTTATACGTTGCATAGCACATTTTAACTAGCTCACTATTAATTTAAATCCTTATGCACAGGTAAGGTCTAATGGCTAGAGAGACAGTCCGGATGTATGGTGCCTCCTCTTGGCTAACGTACAACGGGCCTTGTTACACGTTAATTTTGGGTGGCTTCTGGAGCTCCTGGATTGTCCACATGTTAACACCTCTAAGTTGTTTAAAGCACTTGTTATGCAGCTCAAAGTTATGCCACTCTGGGGCAGGATTATCTCTCGGTCCACATAACCCAACTCCTGTTCCATTAAGGTGTGGCCATCCCCACAGATGTGCTGCTCAAATTGAAGGTGTGACCGTAGGCTAACACTAAGCTGATCAACATTTATGCGACCCTCAGTGTAAAGTGCAACAAGGCCCAATGATTCATGAAACCATATATAACCACTTCGAGCCTCAGTTTCCCCCAGTATAAAAGGTGCAATTCTCAGCTTGTGAGAATGCTGCAAAGCTTCCCTGGTGTTTGGTGCAATCTTCCTTAGAAGTGCAAAAGCTGCAACTACCGAATCACGTTTCCCCATAACTTCTTTTTTAACAAAGTTTTAATTTAAAAAAGATAAAATCTGACAAGCCAGAAGGATAACGGCAAGGTTATAAGCACTGGGAGGGGTTACTTAGAGGCTGCGGAAGCTTTGTCATTGCAAGTTTTACGCAGAGGTTAGATAAACATTTATCTCGGCTATTTTAGACAGGGACAGTCCTGCCTTCAGAGGTGGGCTGGACTAGATGACGTCCGGAGAGCCCTTCTAGCCCAATTCTCCGACGATTCTATACAGAGAAAACATTACTATATGAGGGATGCGGGCCCATATATGAGCTCATAATTGCCTGCGGCCAAATAGCTGGCAATTCTTCAGTCAATGTCCACTTATGAGCATTGCTTTAGATCGTCCTATCATAATTCTGACATCCTTGAGAACAACTCTCCCTACTCCCTAGTTACACAGCCTATAATTTATCCTCACAATCAATTTTTGTATCCTTTGCCTTAAACCTGACATTTCTACCGTCCTCATCTCTACACTTCATTGCTCCTACCCATACTGTATTATTAATACGCAGTAATCACATCCCCTCCATTTTCTCCCTCCCCCACTTACCTACTGCAGACAGACCCTGCCGGTAGATCCTGGCATTCCAGTCACGTGTCTCTCATCATGTCTCTGTCATTACTTCTCTTCATGCATGACAGCCTCTCATTTTTCCTAGTTGTTTCCCATGTTTCCAGCATTACTGTAAGAGCGTCTCAGAAATGTTTCACCCCTTTTTTTTTCTGCTAAATACTATTATCAGCATTGCCTATTTTAGTTACTGGCACAATTCTACTTCTGGGTGCAATCTCTTAAACAGCCAATTTGGAGAATGGCACCCTCCTGCTCCTCTTCCCCACCCCCAAAATATTGCTGTGCCTCGGCTCCCTTCCTGCCTGTTTTAAAGCCCTCCAACACCAGTCTTGCTACCTAGCCCAGAAGGCTCAGGGCATGCTTTGCTAAACAGGCTTATAACGAATGCCCCTCATGAGTTGATGCTCATTAGTAGAGAACAGACCCTCATGGTGATAATGGTCCTGCTGTACCTGAGGGTTTTTCCTCATCGATGACAACCTGACACTTTTCATAAGCATTATATTCCCTTAAAAAAACCACAAATAATTTTTCTCTGTTCTCCATCTGCCTTCTGTCCTAATGAATCCAGCTCTGCTATTTATAGCATGGATTTTGTGTGCATTATTACAATTTCCTTCCAGGGTTGTGTAGAGGCCTCAGACATTTTTTCCTGAAGTACTTTAAAGCACATTCCTAGGAAGCACAGCTGGTCTCCCCTCCATTAAGCACCTGCTTCTCTTCTAAACCTATTTCCTTAATTTCAAGATCATCTTAATTATTTTTCCAGGTACTGCTACTTTTGTGTAATATATGGCTAATTGCTTTTATCCATTTTTTTTAAATGGAATTAAAAAGAAAGAGGGTCGTCAATGACTGGTAATGAGTCAATAAGAGAAAAATGTCAACTGCTTTCCTTTTGTGTCTTAAAAGGCTGTCGAAATGGCTGCACAGATTGAGCAAACACTTAAGGCCAGACTGAAGTCTCACGGAGGTATGTAAGACTTTTCCCTGTGAACAAGTTTAGCATTGAATCTGAATTTATACCTTTTTTCCCGTTGATGCTATGGATTGAAGTTATCTATAGGCTTCTTCCATTGTAGAAAATAAGGTACATGGGTTAATTAACTGTCTGTTGGGTCTTGTCTTTTAAGCAGGAAGGAGATGCAGGAGGTGACGGAGCCATCGAGATTTGGAGACATTCGCATTGTCTAGAAGGGCACCCCAGGCAACTAGCACGAGGGAATTTGATACCCTTCCCTCTTGGAAACGTTTTTATTCTCTAGTCTTGCGCATCGCTTATACCAGCCCCATCTTTAAGAATCTGTGGACTGAGGGGGAGCAGATGGGCTTCTTTGTTGCCTGTCAGGGCTGTTTCTTCATGGCCCAAGGGGGCAAGTTTGTGCGACCCTGGCACTAACTGAGAGGTGTCACATTGACGGCCCTCTGCTTATCCACAGAACAGAAGCAGCCTCGAGAGAAGGCAAAAAGCTTTACAAAACTACTTCATCAACACACTTCAGCCCTGCTTTGGAGGGACCACCTGGAGGGGACAGAGGGATTCAGTCACTGGGACATGGCTATTCATTCCTCAGTCTCTCTGAAGAGCCCTAATTGTGTTGATGTCTGTGCAGTGGGCAAAGACCACCGACAGGAATTTTCCTGCCATGCATGGCCATGAGAAAGCCATCAGCTTGGACTGAATCGTGAGTCACAGTCTAAAACTATCTCTACCGACCTACTGTACTGCTCTCTGAGCCACTAGTCCCCTCTTGGGAGAGATCACTACTGGGCACCACAAAGCAGCTTCCTTCATTCACAGCTGTGAGGCACATAAGCTGCTTATACATGTGCTCGGGGGTGCGGGCACTTTAATTAAAGCAGTTCCCAGACAGCTGCTCTAATTAAAACATCTTACCATCATGTGTATTAAGCTCCCACGTGTTTCAAAATGGCCGTGGGATGCTTTATCTAAAGCTCATTCAATGAGGGTTAGACAAAGCGCTCCCCCGGCCGTTTTGAAATGTGCGGGGGTTTAATACCTGTGCAGTGAGGCAATACTGGAGCGGTCTAATTAGGACATGAATGAGCATGTCTATAGGCATCCATAGGCTCTGCAGGGCTTTGAACCCATTCTGCTGGCTGGAGGGAAGGAAGAAGACACCAGGAGGGCAAAAGACACCAAGTGCAGGGATTGAATTCTGGTTGGGATACCAAGTCAACTTTTTTATAAAACTGATTTTTTTAAATCTGTGACTACTGTCCACATTGTGTCTGTATTAGGCACATTCTGGCAATAATTCAAACGATGGTACTAGATTTATTTCCCTGGCTTGATAGGGCATCCCCAAGTTAAGATGATTATCCT